GAAAATCAAGCAATTCAAGAAATTCAAGGAAAGGAACAAGTGATATAGCACAATGAGTTAGAAGGTTGGGATGTGATGTAGCTTACTATCGTATGTGTCATTATCAAATTGCTTGATTTTCTTGATTTTCTTAAATTCCTTGAGTTCCATCATAGCTTACACTTATAGCTTACTATCTTATGTGTCTTTGTTCAATTGCTTGAATTTCTTGAATTGCTTGATTTTCTTGAATTCCTTCATTTTCTTGATTTCCTTGAATTCCATGGTAGTTTATACCTATAGCTTACTATCCTATGTATCGTTGTTAAATTTCTTTGATTGCTTCAATTTCTTGAATTGCTTGATTTTCTAGAATTCGTTGAATTCCGTGATAGCTTACACTTATGGCTTACTATCTTATGTGTCTTTGTTGAATTCCTTGATTTTCTTGATTTTCTTGAATTCCTTGAATTCTAGCTTACACTTATAGCTTACTATCTTATATGTCTTTGTTGAATTGCTTGAATTTCTTGAATTCCTTGATTTCCATGATAGTATATACTTATAGCTTACTATCGTATATGTCTTTATTAAATTGCTTGATTTTCTTGATTTTCTTGAATTCCTTGATTTTCTTGAATTCCATGGTGGTTTATACTTATAGCTTACTATCCTATGTATCGTTGTTAAATTTCTTTAATTGCTTGAATTTCTTAAATTGCTTGATTTTCTTGAATTGCTTGAATTCCTTGATCTTCTTGAATTGCCAATTTTTGGATCGTGGTTACTGCTGTCCTTCAACAGTCAATAACTTAATTCTTTTACGTTCATTTGAAAACAACAAACAACTACTCTAGCTTAGAGTTTTTTCTTTTGATTCATTCTTGTGACTTTTGTTATTTATTCTTGCTATTAAATAAAGCTATATTTATAAACATTAGTTATTTGAACGAATACTCGGTGACTCGACTCGAGTCAGATCTTTTTCCAATATCCATCGAGTCGAGTCGAGTGAATACCTAAGTCAAGTCGAGTCGAGTCGAGTCGAGTCAGATCTTTTCCCAATGTCCATCGAGTCGAGTCGAGTCGAGTGAATCCCTAAGTCGAGTCGAGTCGAGTCGAGTAGGATTTTTTTGACTCGTTTCGGTCTCTGATGTTTATAGACATCATTCATTCAGTTCGAAGAAAATTAGTTCCTGACAGTGAAGCATGTTAATTGTCTCGACTTATCATATATGAAACAGAAAAGGTTTTTATGATATAAAAATTTTTCTGGTAGACTCACAAAAAGATTTGAGTTGAGTTTAGTTTCTAGATCTGATTCTTATTGTCCAAAAACTCAATCTCATGGCCATGAGTGCATACGTATTCCAAGTTGTCGCAGTTTTGTAAACAAAACATAAGAGTCTCTTAATGTTCCCGGTGGACTTCCCCAATATGGTCGCATTTCTCTCACAGTAATATGATGTTCAAAAAATAGTTCGTCTACTAAAGAATTAATGGTTGAATCATTTAACAGTTGATTGATGAGAGGAATCTCAATTGCCGGAGTATCGATATCTAGTTTTATAACAACATGATCATGTGGTTTAGCCATTGCTTTCAGCATTATCCACGGATTGAATTTGCCACTTGCTGCACAACCAACATTAATCAGAGTATAAACTGAGAAAACATCGTCAGGCAGTTGATTCCAAACTGTTTTGGAATTTAATGGGAAATGCTCATAAGCAATAATACGATCGAATTTAACACCAAAACGCTTGTAATATTCATAGAACCAGCGTCCAGCAGCGGCACTAGTATCACCGCCCCAACTTCCGAAATAAGAACTTCCCAAATCAATCAAAATATTCTGTCCGTTTCTCGTATCTAGATCAAATTCCATGTCTAGCAAATTCAATTTTGATCTTTGATACATCCAAGGAGGTAAATTCATGTTGCGTTTATTTGACTGAATATTGATTTGTAAAGTATCTTTATGATTTTGTGATAATGGATGAATATAAAATGGAGCTGACACTGATAATAAGAAAAATCGTTTTGATTGAACTCCTGCTTCTTTATAAGCAGAGGCAGGTAATGAATTAATGCGATTACATATCGTTAATGGATCTCGTAGCAAACCAATGAGTGGTTCAATTACTTGTGACACTTCTGCTTCTTGAAATGATACGTTTGTTAGTGGGTTGACACATTCTTGTCGATAAAACATTTTCGATAGAAGCTCATCAGCTTGTTGTTTATCACTTCCGGTACAATTTCTTCCAAGTTTTTGTAATTCCATCAATCGTTCAACGGTTAATATTGCTTTATTTAGATTTTTCTCATCTGCTATTCTTTCACACACATTATTTTGAAACTCTTCAATATTCGTAAACCAAAATTTTTCCCATGAACTTGGTGTATAATTTAAAAAGTACCATTGACAAATTTCATCGGAGTTTTTCGAATTTCCTGAACAAAGCGTTTGAGAATCACTTCCAGAACTTATTGAAATATAATTCTTAAATGTTGTTAATGTTGTTAGCCACTGGCCTTGAACAAAAATCATTGCCAACGTTAATAATCCAATGCCAATGATGATCAATGTCCAAGATGAAATGATTCGACATTTAACTTTTTCTTGATTATTACTATAATGCATATCTAGATAAAATGTTATTATGATAAAGAAAGAACAGAGAAGGATTAAAGAACTGTGTTTTAACTGGCCTCCGATTACACATTTTCGAAATTATAGGAATTCCTATATAGGATTTCGTTTTCTGAATTATTCGATTGTTTTCACTAAAAAAAGTAAAAAATTGACCACAATTTAGGTATTGTACGTCGAACCGCACCTCAAATGTATGTGCTTTACTTGCTAGAAATAGCTATTCACATTACCCGGTCTTTTCGTAAAAAGTGATGACCGGGGGGGGGGGGGGGGGGGGGGGGGGGGCC